CCTCTGCAGCTCCTTTATCTCCTCTCCCTGCTTCTCAAGCTACGCTTTCTGGAAATCCACAGTGCAAAGAGCCGCGTTTCTTTCGTTCAAATAACTATTCACCGATTCGAGAGACAGGTTTCTCTCTGCTTCGGCAGCTTCCAAGTTTCGCTTAAGCACTGCGTTCTCTTTCTTCAAGGTAGCACCTCCCTTTGCAGCTCCCAGTTATACCTTTTCCATGGACATTCTCATGGAAAGAAGAGCCTACGAACAAAAGAAGAAAGAGTTAGGTAATCAAAAGAAGTTAAGTCCTCGCCGGGGACAGTTCGCTCACCTTGCTTATATGCTGGATCGATGTGGACATTAAGTCCACGTCGTTGGAACTTGCGAACTGCTTGAAAGATTCCGAAAGTTTGTATTCCAGCAGGGCATACACCACTGGCTGCAGGTACTCCGGCAAGTTCCCCAGCGAGTCCAACACTGTGGGACCCTTCGTCGCGGCCTCAGCAGCTGTGTGTCGTCCATAGGCGCCTTGCCCGACTTGCTTGTGTTCGGTCGCGACCTCTTTGGCTGCTCGCCTTTAGATTCAGTCTCCGATTCCTTAGCCTGAATCTGCTTCCTCTTTTTCCGCTGAGCCATGGTTTTCATCCTTGGTCGAGCAGGCGACGGCTGGGCGACCTTCGTGGTTTGCGTTAGTGCGTCCTTTGCCGACGATGGCTGGGACATTTCAGAAGGTCGCGTCGGTTGGCTCGGGGTCGCGCCCTCAGCCTGGGGGGCTGTTCGTGTAGCTTCGGCTGCCTTAGCTTTCTTCGTCCGAGGAAAGTTGATGGGCCTTCGACGAGGTTGCTCTGGTTCCTTCGGTGGCATGATTGTTGCTGCATGCAAGGCGAGGTTAATGAAGACATTCTGTTCCACGACCAAGAAAAGGATCGGTTAAGGAAACTTACATGGTAGAGGCTCTAACAATGCGTTGGCGTTAAAGAAACCATACTTCTGCAAATTCGCGGTTGTCACAAGTGTCCTCGCGTTGTGCTTGTCCTCAGGAAGGGAGCCAAACTACAAGATTCTTCTTCTGTCGTGGAGCATCCCTATTTCAGTTGTCTTGTTAACTGTCAAGAAAGAAAAATCAGGTCATTAGAGCGACCACGCTTCGAACGCAATGAGTTCGCCAGGAACAAAACAGAAATACAAACAAAGAGAAAGAAGCCTACTCGGATCCTGGAAGTGGCAATGGCCATCGTAACGAAAGAAGAAAAACTTCATTTCGTAGGCCCTCGCGTTGCTGAGATAACTGTGTATCCTGTCAGCAATGGTAGGTCACCTGGACAAGTAATACGAATCCTTGTCCTTTCTATTCTTCAGATAATACGAGCAGTCGAGCTCCAAGGCTGTCAGTTTGCCCAGTCTGTTTTCCCGGCATGCGATGTACATTGCAATAGCAATGACGTACACGTTCGGGGTCAGCTGCATTGGTGCAACCCCAAAGTGGTCCAAAAACGACCTGATGAAAGGGTGCAGGGGGATAAGTCCTCCACTCTTAATAATCTCCTCGGAGATCGCGGCCAAGCCTTTTGCTGGGTATCGCGACGAGTGCGTCAGGTCGTGGAATACGTCCACTTCGATGCCGAATTGGCTTATTACCCTCTCAAGTTCTTCCTCGGTGAGTACCGAGAAAACCTCAAGAAGAATGCTAGGAGCACCATGCGGGGACGAGCTGGTTCCCTGCTCAGGTCTGGTATTTGAGGGGTCCATCTTGCCAGTCTACAAAAGCAACAAGCAGAGGGATTATTTGGTCTCCGTACGTTATATTGTACAATGACGTGGGGGGAAATAAACTCCCCTAAATACTAAATAAATACCCTAGCAAATGGAGGCTCAAACCCGACGCAGACGGCTAGTCTCCGATGGGTGACTGGAAGACCTATGCCATTAACTCATGGAAAAAATGAGGTGATGGCAAGAAAAACTCTTACCTCTCGGAGTACGATGACGGTGTCTGCTTCAGATGCCGGAAAAATGCAAGTCCGGAAGACAAAGGTTCTTGGCCTGCGAAAATCTTTTGTTCTCTGTGAAAAAGGCTTTGGTAACATTGCCTGAGACGATTTGTGGTTTTTATAGCGCTGGATAGGCGTTTGGATTTCCCGGAATTGAAACGACGTTCGAGCGATAAAGGTTTCTTACCGTTGATCTTGGCCACGTGTCACTCATCAGCGAGGAAGGGTGAGCGAAACGACCGGATGAAGTCAAACTTTCACCTTTCCAGGTGAAAAGCTTAAACGACGGCCATATCTCTCTCAGAGCATTAATTGTGCCTCAAATCTTCATTTAATGCTCTGGTAAGGTGCACCGTTCCAACACATATTGCATTTAATGTCCTGGTAAAACGCACTGTTTCAGCATGCAAGGCATTAAATGTGATTGGCTGGCATTCGCCACGCAAGGGGCACACCTGTCAGCGCAGGGACGGCTTCATTAAATGCCTTCTTGTTATCAGAATAAACGGATGACGTCAGACGGAACCAAGTCACTCGTCCTTGAGCATGCGAGGTCGCGTTTGTGCAAATGCCTCTCCGACCTACTTTCGAACAGATTAAAGTTTTCAGAAATCATCTAACCGCAGCACGACCTGTAGTTTTCAAGGTTCAATCCTCAAACCTTAAAAACTAGGGGGCTTCTGTTATGCCTAAAAATATAAGGGCTGACGTCAGGACCCTTTAGCCCGCAAAAGTCAGATCATTGGAATAGCCACTGTCTGGGTTTGTCAGGTTAGTGGGCGCGCGTCAGGCGAACCAGGAGGCTGTGGTGCTCCCACGTGTCCAATCCCTGCTCTAAATCGCGCAAATCACTCTGGAAGATGGGCAATGTGACATAAAGAGGGATTTGCACGGATAATCCCACTAACTTGCAGATTTAGTGATCATTGCCTCAAGGCATCTCACTATAAATTAGGAATTCATCTCTCATTAAGGGGATTCGCACATTTTTCACTAGATTGATTACTCTCTCTTTTCTTAGCAAGTGATACCTTGTAATATCACTATAAAGTCAGTCAGCTAATAGCGACCTGACCTCTATCATCAATACAAGCATCAGTGGACGTAGGACTTGCTACCTTAGCATATGAACCACTTTAAAAATTGTCTCTATTGCATTTACTATCTCTTATCCATTACTTTCATATGTGATTTCGGGACCCCCCACAACATTTCACACGTGCGTTTCATTGGTGCAAAATCCCGCATCAACAATTATGTTGTATTATATGTTTGATAGATAAAATGAATATTAATCTATCAGACTTTTGGATGATTTAAATCTATTTTAATGCTATTATTAAGAATTAAGGTTAAGAAAATAAGTCGGTACTGCATGTAATACGGTCACCAAAGTGAGGTACTTAAGCATTGGTGTTTTTTATTTTGCCAGTGGAAGAACTAATCAAAGTCTTCTAGCTGCCTTTTGTCTTTAATTGGCTGTTATAGTGTTCCTATTTTTCTTCATAATTTCATGCTTAAATTGGAGGCACTCAAATGCTGTACATTTGAAAAGACAATTAAAGCCACCTAAAAACTGACAGCTTGAAAATATGTTTCAATTTTATTTTTCATCAGCTTCAGGCTCTAAGCTCTCTGGACACAGCGTTTAAGCTCTTTGACTTTAGTTTGTTTGAATAATTGGATGTTCAATTAGTCGGTATCTATTATAGAAGTGCACACATTTTATAAGTCTATCAAATTAAAGATTTTAATTATGTATAGTTTTACATACTTTATAGATTTTAATTGTTAGATGACTGTTATTTTTTTGCTCCTACCCATTTATTGTTATTGTTTTTTACTGTAAATTAACATAAGTATATACAATTTGTGGAAAAAAAAATTGCGTCTCATAGCTACAATTTACTTCCTGCTAAAGGTAATGTGATGCCCTTAACTCTTTTGACTATTGATTTATTTATAACGTAATAAAGATGACGCCTTCATCCTATAAATCTTGGTTTTGGCTTATCGATGTCAACTACATGATCAATGAGAAATTTAACTATTTCAATTTTCAACATTTCCATTCACTGATAGATATAAATATATAGAAAAATAGATATAATTATATAAATAGATAGATATATTGTGCCAAACCATTAATCTATATTAATAGTGGGTAAATTATCCCTTGTGCTGCCAAACTATTGAAATGGATCATATTAATGGTGAGGTAAACCATAGTGATCCAATCAACGATCAATAGAGATGGATGACTATAGATTGTGCTGCCAAACTATTGAAATGGATCATATTAATGGTGAGGTAAACCATAGTGATCCAATCAACGATCAATGGAGATGGATGACTATAGAATTAAAAGTAATAGGAGGTGTTATGGCCAAAAAGTTAACTGATTATAGTAAAATATACTGGCAGCCTACAACATCATTGTTGGAGCTTAAAACACATCTTCAAATATTTATTTGATAATTGCACTGCCGAACCATAAGTGGCTGTATAAAATTTTGATTCATATGATCCATAACTGGCTCTTTAAAGGCTACGAACAGTAATTTTATACCATGATTTGTTGGGTGATGCTGAACATAAATTATAGCATATTGTTCGACATATTATGAATGGTGCTACCAAACCATAATGATGTGTATAATCCATACTGATGTGTTTTAAGCTCATCAGCGAAAATTAATTGTTAGTAGTTCACAATTTGATGTACATGGTTCATTATCAATTATCAAACCACCATATTGATGTACATGTGCCAAAACATAGCCTAAACACATCTTCATTTCCCACAATATTTTAACAATATTATCCCTTGCGCTGCCGAACTATTGAAAAACACACCCAAAATTGGTAAATAAAGACAGCAATCATGTAGCTGGCACATTCTATTTCATGGATATTCTCAATACAATGGGGTCACGGATTTTCCTCAAACATGTGCTGCGCTAAATGGGCAAATCACTTTTCTAGCCTTTAGGGATTTTTGTCAATATGTTAAAACAAACAGAAAACTAATAATTGATTCGTGTAGAATATCATTTCTGTTATAATGTATTAAATAATACAATATATTCTCCAAATAACAAAGTCCTACATAAAAATAAACTGACTTTCAAGACTAACCTTTGCCTCATTATCCCTGACTGAATTAAGGCGAGAACAGCCCTTATGTCATAAAGCAGACTGAAGTTCTCATTTGTCTTTGGAATTGATACAACATCTGCCAATAGATACGACATGTACAAAATTTCAAAAAGAATATAAAAGAAGCTAAATGAAGGGGAAAAAATTATGGAAATCATGTCCAAATGGTGGATCCATCTCGAACTTAAATTGGATTTTAAGCTGCCTGCAATGAAGAAGTATAATATTTTAACTCATCTCACAATATTAGGAGTACATAATAATTGACAAAAGGAAACAATAGCTAATAGGTCGAAGCATGCATACCCAAGAAGCCTGTAGGGTAAGTCTTATCAGTGAGAACCTTTGCATCGACCAAAACATGTCACTGCATCAAATTGCAATGACTTCACGGTATGTAAGGGCATAATTCAACCTGTTTTACATGATGAGGATTAGTGGCAAGCACTCCCTGGACTTGTGGGGCCCAAATGAAGGCTTGTAAGCCTACATGAAGAAATAGGAAATGTCACAGCCAAAAGCATTAGTGAACCAAATAACCAACAATCATCCCAAAATTTTCACTTACAAATAATTGATCAATAGCTGCAGCAACACAAATTTTAGTGGTTTATTTCTCTTATTTGAGTCAAATCAAAGAGACATGTGAATTTTGATGAAATATTGCTGCTTTTGTGAGTGGAGTACAGGAGAAGCAAATAAATAGAGTTTGGGAAAAGATTCTTGGCTTAGCAAAATGTCAATGTCTTTATCCTAGTTGGATAGTTTTCTATTTCAAAAGAACAATGCATCTTTCATGTAGTGTTATTCTCTTCTTGCTAAGGAAAATTTTTAAATTCATCATTTTCATCTTAATGAAATGTCAGCCCAGACTGGATATTGCTTCATTTCATCACATTAATAAAGCATCAAGAAACAAAAGAAAAAATTTACAACCTAGCCTTAATGAAGCTTAAGACCTGCAAAATCTGAAATTGAAGAATTTGATAATAGTTAAAGTTGATGAACACCGTTAATTTTGTTTACATCTACTCTCTATATATTTTGTTCCACTTTTTATTTTGACCTCTTCCTATTAAACAAAATAAGACCTCCCAAGGATTGTAATTATATACTGTAGACTGTATTTTTCTTCCCAGCAGATTAACTTGTACCTTTCCATTTTTGGACTAAACTACAAAAAACAAAGCACATTAAATGCAGTTTCTTGAAAGAGAAACCTCTCATTCTATTAATAAGAGTTGCCTTTGTTTATTAAAAATCTATGCAGCATGCACTTATAATTGTAGAAGAAGACATACATTATCAGTGGTGCTCTCATATCTCTCCCAAAGAGTATTTAGTACTGCCTGATCACCTACTTCACTGCAAAGTAAAAAAAACAAAATTATGATAATCCAATAAAGTAATCGTGACTTTCTGTCATGTAGATGTAAATTCTACAAAGATACCAAAAACAAAAGAACATTGTCCATCAGCACCCAAATGCTGGTGTACAATAACCATAATCACCCACAAAAGAAGTACAGCAAACCTCTCACTGCATAGGTCATAACTTGAATAAATGTATCCATTCCACTAAGTATAGGGAAATCAAATCATACATCATTAATTAACTAAATTTCACTTCATATTTCAAGTCTCATACAATTTTTTTCATCTTGATGTCAATAAGATATGGATAAAGAGACTGCATATTTGAGCACAGCACTGTGTTCCCCCATATACCTAGTATGACCTCCAAGATTAATGCTGAAGTGGTAAAGAGAGTTTATTGACAATCTTTGTAAAATTGTCAATAAAGAGTTAAGCCAAAGACATGAATCTACTAAGAACTCGATGACATTACCTTCTCGCAATTCTTAATAAACACGGTTGACAATGTAGCGTGGCATGAAAAAAAATTCTACTTCAAGAATTCTAGCATTAACTATGAAAACCATCAAGTACAAACAAACATCAGTAACTTATACTTTTCTTAAGAATTTGTATTTACCTGTAGCGGATCTTCGGAGAAGGAGGAGCGAAGCAAATTAAAGCTTTTTTATGATTTTAGAAAACAGTTAACCTCCCAAGTTTAAGCTTTAATTTTCCGTCTTCTATAGCTTTTAGTGCAGACAATCAAAGAGTGACTGCAAATTTTCCTCCATAAGACACTGCCACAATGTACAGAGGACTCTTTTGAAGTTTCTCATTTTCATTAAAAAGCTCCTCCAACAATGCAGTTAAATCAGTTGCGGTCTCAACATTAGTTTTCACAAACAATTTTGAATCTGAATCCTCCACATAACTGTATCACGTTCCCACGGGATTATCCTGAATCACACCAAAACGACATTTTAAAAAAAATTTTTTGCAAAATTTAATCCTCCTTTACTCCAAATTAAACAGAGTTTTAGTCATGGCCAACTCACCACAAACAGGAGATCAACTTTTCTCAACCATGTCAAATTCCTGCTCTTCAAATAATTGTCCAATGGTCCAACCTCCTCAAAATTCCCAATCCCAACGCCTGAAGCACCCTGTACAAATGAATTAGATAAGAAACAAAGAATATTCAGATATTGGTATAGAATGAAAAGAATCCAAAACTTTATTGCCTAAATAAGAAATGAACTTTCTTTTTCTGCTGTTCTCAAATCTCAAACTGAGTAATTCTAATTTCACACTTCATCTTCTAAACAATACTCACAGGTCCACCTTGCAGCGAGAGAATGATTAGCCATGGCTTGGAGGGATTTTCAACTCTATATGGACTTCTGCACAGCCACCAAAACATGTGTGCTTCTGCGCAACAAAAGTCATATTCATTTCAGTTTTGGTTTCAGAAATCAATCATTTAACAATTTCTATCGGCAAGGAAACATGAAATGAATGAAAAACACATAATTATTGTGAAAATAGATTGGCATACTTGATCTGACTTCAACGTATCCCCACTCTTCTGATCCATCCTGGGTTCTTCTCAAAGCTCTGGCATTTCCTCCATGAAAGAGAAGAGAGAAAAAGAGGAGGAACACAACAGAAAACCCAAAAAAAATAATTCAAAAATACCAAAATCCACCGTAGCATTCACAAAATAACATTAAACATAAGAAATAATTAGTAAATACACTTTACAACATACCCATGCCAATCTCTAGCGTTCCCTCCTCCATATCATTACTGTTTTTTTTCCATTCCCATTTTCAAGCTGTCAAAGAATTAAAAAAAAAAAAAAAAAAAAAAAAAACCAACAAAATCATCATAACGGCTAACAAAAAATGCAGCATTTACAATTAAAACATAAATACAATTTAGGCCAACATATTCATTAAACAGCTTACAGATTCCAACCATTGCTTCATTAAACAGCTTAATTTAATAAAACTACAGAATTAACCCAAACATGGCTCTAATCAGAGGATTCAAACTCAAAAAGCAAAAACATTTCCTCTCCGAGATAGCTGAGAAAACATTTCGATTGAATCTTATTACAATTGTCTCAACTAAAATAAACTACAAACACTGGCGATAATTCATTAAAAGCAATCCTAAAAATTAAACTTCCAGTTCTTTTTCCAATCCTCCAGCGGTTTCTCAGCAACCAAGCACCACTCAAACTCAAGAATTCAAAATTAAGAAAATAGAAACAAAAATTAAACAAAAGTAAGAGTAAACTAAGAGTCCATCAGTTGAAGGATATAACGAACTTACGTATAGATTCAACAACATTGAAGGATATAACGAACTTACGTATAGATTCAACAACAGTTGGTGATTAGTTAAATCAAATGAAATGAAATTATACACAAAATTAATAAAATTAAATAAGAATTTGAGGAATGGCTCTAAAAGGGCGTACCTTTTTGTATGCCGACTCCCTGTCTCTATCTTTTTCGCGGCCGAGATTTCGGCAGCGACGACGACGGTAGGATGAAGATGACGTGTCAGAGGATGACGAACCTGAGGACTACGAAGACACAGATGGCGAAGCTGAGAAAAAAAAGCAAAGAGAAATCGAGAAAACTTACGGCTCTCTGATTCAGTATGTCTAGTTCTTCTTGAAATGGCGCAAAGGCTCCTCCAATGCTTGCGAACAAAGAAGAAATGAAGTTTTGGAGACTGGAAGCGTTTTAATTTACGTGAATACAGAGAGGAGAGGCGGTGTTCGTTGATGAGTGGCGGTGGTACCGAGTGATGTTGAATGAAATTCGAGAGATATACAATTCACCTATATAATTACTAATAGCAATCTAATATTCTAATGCATCTGGATACTTTATTATTAATGCACATATAAATATTTAGACTTTTGGAATACTAATACAGTATACCTATATAATTATTATAATTTGAACAGTTAAATCCATGGGGTGAGTTTAATCTTAGAGATGAGACAGAGAATAATACTATAATCAAGATTATATGAATTTTAGAATACTAATACAGTAATTAATACTCCCTCAGTTTTTTTTAAGTGACGCTTTAAAATCTTGCACAATTTTTAAGAAAGCAAATTTCTCTCTCCTCATATTGACTCTTTCACTGAAATTGCAGTGAGAAAATTTTGATTCTCCCCCGCTCTTCACCTGCATTCGAAAAAGAAAGAGAGAGAGAAGATAAGGGGTAGAGATGAAGAAAGAGAGAGCGGAGATGAGGGCAGAGAAAATTGGAATACAAAGGATAGGAGAATTCATCGAGGAAGAGAGAGAAGATGGAGTAGTCAAACGACTTTTATTTTGGCAAAAAAATACTTTCCTAAAACTGTCTATTAAAATGAAACGGAGGGAGTACCTCATTATATCACACATTCAAGGTTGCAAGAGAGAGCAATTCTAGCTCCAAGATAAAGCAATTTGAACTAAAAAAAAAAAAAAAAAGGGAAAGAAAAAAGTGTCCCACATGTCACTTAAATATGTATGCTTTTCCCTTTAGATTTGAAATATTAATGCAGCAATTAATATCTCTTTACATTATCACTAATAAAATTCAAACATAGCAGTTACAAATCCTATGTATCCAAATATAACGATTCTTTTGAGTTCTAAAATATAATAGATGAGGATTATCTGTGGCTTATGTCTATCCATTAGTTTACTTTTTCTTGGAAACTGGTTTCATTAATGGGAATGTCCTCATTAATGAATGTCCTCATTCTGAAGCTCCAGATCGTATCCAATTGAATATTCAAAGCTACCATATACTTCCAATGATTAAAAAAAAAAAACTACCATTTGATCAAAATAAAGACTAGATCCCTCTACTTAATTCTCGATTGATCCTTAACGTTAATTCATTTATAAGCTTTTCAAGCTTTAATCAATTGACATAAGAAAATGAAAAGAATTTCTAGTTTTAAAACCCCTATTTTAATCAATAAATAAACCTTAGCAATGAAACACTTTCATTAGTTTCAGCTCTTATGTACTATTGAGAAAGATTGAAGACCTTATTAATGTTGTTCTCTTCCTCATATTAAACGAGACATCAATGGAAATTTCTCTTTGCTCTCCGGACAGTGTTATCCTTACATAAAATGACAATGCATGATTCCTGGTGTCAACATAAAGATGATCACTGGGGACAATGTTTTCACTGCAAAGCCTAGCCACGAATGTTGAATACTTACGCCAAATGGATTTGTTGTGGAAGGAAGAGTTCAGAAACTACACACAGCAGCAGAAATTGGAGAAAGTTGACAAAATATGTGTGACGGCAAGATCCTCTCCTTTTGATAAATGCTCATGGTGCAGTGCTTGAAACAGAAAGGTCACGTGGTTTCAGTCACTGGGATGGCACAAATGATGCACCAGCTCTGAAGGAAGCAGATATAGGACTATCTATGGGAATCAATGGACTGAGTAGCCAAGGAGAGTTCAGATATTGTCATCATGGATGATAATTTTGGCTCAATAGCCACAGTTTGAAATGGGGAAGATGTGTCTACACCAATATCCAGAAATTCATTCAGTTCCAGCTTACGTAAACGTTGCTGCTCTTGTAAACTTTGTAGTGGCAGTTTCTGCAGGTAAGTACCTCTAACAGCAGTACCAATTGTTGTGGGTGAATTGATCATGGACACATTATGCGCGTTGCTCTGGCTACAGAGCGGCCAACGAGCTCGCTCGTGGACAAACCACCTGTGGTCGTAACGAGCCGCTTATCACCAATGTTATGTGGAGAAATATTCTAGGTCAGCTTTATATCAGATAGCCATCCTTCTGATCTTACACTTCAGAGGCCAATCATCTTTTGTGTTATGAGAAGGTAAAGGACACCTTGATCTTCAACATATTTTTCCTTTGCCAATTCTTCAATGAGTTCAACCTAAGGAAGCTTGAAAAGAAGAGTATCTTTGAGGATACACAAGAACAAGTTGTTTTTGGGAATCATCGCAATAACCATCATTTTTCAAGTATTGATGGTGGAAGTCTGAAAATTTTGCAGATACAGAGAAACTGAATTGGGGTCAATGGAGTGCATGTATTAGTATCGCAGCTGCATCTTGACTGATAGGTTGTCTTGTCAGTGCATACCTGCTCCAGAGAAACCATTTTCAGCTACTCAAGTGAAGAAGTAGACTTGAAAGTCCAGACATGGTAACAATTATTTGATTGTAAAAAGAACCTACATTCATTGGTTCTTTAAGTTTAATCACTTTGTAGTTCAATAATTAACATTAGGAGTATTAATGTTATCACATTAGTTGTAGGGGCAAAGAGTCCAAGTCAAGTCATTTTCTTTTCTTTGTTTTTGGTATTCTTAATGAAGTTTTTTATAAAACTTCACAATGACACCCACATTTTCCGTAAAGGTGGCTGACCAAGGTTATTGGAGTATTGTCTTTGTGTCTCTTGAACTTCATTGTAGAGATTTAATTATATCACCTCTCTCGGAAAATTAAGTTTCATTCGTGAAGATTTCTGATGCAATGTGCTTACTTGAACCGCAAAAGTTTTGTTACTTTTTGGATTGCTTAAGGGTGAAGCAGAGGCTTTTAGAAATATATGTTTTCCAAGTCTTTTTAAAATTACCTCAATCTTGAGTTGAGTTTTGTTAAGTGAAACTAATATAGCATTTATCCCATGCATTCTTGTTAACTAAGCTGGCTAGCTGGTAGCTAATTTGGGCTGCTATAAGATTGCTCTCATTTTTTACTTGCACCCTTTGAAAGTTTTTTGCTATATTCAATTTTTTTTTTTCAGTGATTATTGAATAGGATAAAGCTACTGTTTGCATTGGATTAAAGCTTGTTTTCTCTTACAATATATCAATGAGAATCTTCTATCATGCTCAACAATGAGCAACCCAACAGAAAAACCCTGAAAATACTTGAAAAACGGTTTAAAAAATTTATTATTGATTAAACCTTAAAGAGATTGAAAAAAACCTCTTTAAAAATTAATCAATAATACTATTTTTTAATTTATCAAAAATTTTACACTTAAATAACGTTGTCATCCTATTTAAAAATATTATAAATAAAGTAATGATGCTATAGCAATCCTATATCATAACATATGTTTACTTTATAAAAAATTGATATATGTGGAGAAGGAGATCCCCTAAAACCATAATGTATTATCAGTAGGAATTATTGAACAGATAAAATATATCAGTTTTCCAAACAGTAATCGTCTATGTATTATACAATATTCATTTCCCCAGATTCCAAATTTGACTGGAAAGCTTGTGCGTTAGCGTTAGTCTCCTCCGCAAACTTAGAATTGAACAAGTCAAATTTGATCGCAGGATATCCTCAATTTTTTTTTGAAGACATGTTGCTATCCTCTACAGGTGGATCAGTATGAATTGTAGTCAAATCAGGTTGATCAAATTTTGAGTCTACACTTTCTTGAGGCTCTGGTGGATCATTTGACGAAGATATTGTATCACAAGTTGCATTTTTTCCTCCCTCTTCCTCTGTTACCAATGTGGAGGTCTATTAAGGTGGGTTCATTAAGTCTAAAGGAAACCATTTATGTTCTATAAGTATAGCTTAGAGAAGAAATAGTTATAAATTTACAATGGTGTATTAATTTTAATTGGTCACCTGAGTTAATAAACATGCTAACTTTTTTTTGATAGAATCTTGCATCAGTAGCTGATGATCGCATTGTTGCGGCAGATTCTCCTCCAAAATTGATTCTTGCAGTATCTCAAGAGGTGTCGAATCTGTGGATGGAGAAGATGGTTTGATGTCAATGGTTACAACATCTGCTTCATTTTGTGGTTTTACTTCAACCTTTTGAAATTCAGCAGGAGGATCAAGTTTTGTGTCCTCTTCCTCTATAAAGAACGGAAAGCTCCAGTTTAGAGAAGAAACATCCTCTGCACCTTCTGTCATTCCTTCTTCTCTCATGGGGAAGGAATAATGGTCTCGATAAGGGACTTTAAGATGTGGGTTGTTGTGAACAATCCTATATGACTAAAAAAACACATACACAGATAAAAAACACAACACCAAAAGTTACCGTGGTTCATTTATCCTTTTGGATAAGTTACATCCACATTGAGCTCCGAAAACGGAGAAGCTCGCTGCACTACTATTATTTCAAGAAATCATCAATTACAAACCCACAATGATAAGATCACAACAATACCCTTGATTCAAGATCAACCTGTAACTAAAGCCCTTAGAGAACCTCACCCTGGACCCTCTAAACAAGAGAACAAACTCCCCTAAAAAATGATTATATCCTAACCACTCAGCCCTCCTAGTTACAAAGATCTATCAAGAAGAAGCAGCAAAACTACAGAGAAATATTTCAGTCAAAGACTCTCGCTATCTCTTTAATTCTGCAAAAAATTGTGTTTAAATATTGTTCACCACGCAGCCAGTTTTCAGCCATTGGATTTGAGTGCTTTTGACGATCATGATCTTTTCTAAGCCATGCTCCAAAACAACATTGCATAAGTAAAACCAAAAATAGCACCGTTTTCAGGCTTCCACTTTAACAATCTCCACCTTGGAAGCATTGAAAACACCTTATTAGTGCAGCTTGCTCAATCCAATTCCATCATAGCTCTAGGCCCTCCATATTACTTTATTGATAACAAATTCAAGCAGTGCTTGAACTTGGCTGGAGTTATGATTTTTATGCCTATGTCAGCTAGATTGTCTTCCGTGGCAATCTTCTTTAAGTCAATCACCCCTTGTGTAACCAACTCTCTCACGAAGTGAAAACAAACATCCACATGCTTTGTTCTCTCATGGTATACCAGATTTTTACTCAAATGGATAGCACTCTGACTATCTGAGTAAATTGTGACCTTCCCATCTGCTAGATGTGCT